CCGGCTCACTATCTAGATGTCAGGAGTTTTGATATGTTCATATCCTAAGCACCCTGGACAAGTTTCTGAAGGAATTGCTTAGGTCCCTGCTCAGACACTTAACACCCCCTTTTGGGCCATTCATTGACTGGACTATTTGTGAATTCACTTCAATCTTTTAACAGTTTGGTTCTAATCTGAGTGTGATTGGATCACAATCTGCTCCATAATAGCTTCTTTTATCTTGTATAGAGCTTTTTGAAGCATCGAGAGCTCTCTTCTATCTTCAATAAGGAAATTCAAATAACAACTCTCAAAAAAATTATTTTTTAAAGCTCTTAAAAGATGCAGTTAGTGATGGGATGAGATACAATATACTGCACGGAAGCAACAACAAAAGTGAACAAGTTATGTGAAACATGGTTTTAGATGAGTATAAAGAAAAAAAAGGAAAAACTTTATAAGGTTCAGTGGGATTTACACTTCTTGTTTTCCACCTTATGAATGGACAAAAATTATTTAAGATGCCCTTCGTGACGCAGAGGTGAAATGACCTCAATAAATCTGATCTTCTATATTTATTACCCGTTTACAATGAATGGATATTGTTGGGAGATCATAAAATAAAAAGATTTTACAGGAAAGACCTTCAAAAAATTTCAAATGTAATTTTTATTAGAGGAAATTCCGAACCAGAAATAAATTATGGCAAAGGCAATGATATTTTCTCTTTTCTTGACAATGATAATAATTTCCACCAATCGCCAACTTTTTAACAGTTTAATGTCCCAAATAGTGTAAATACTTTTTTTTATTATGTTGTAAGATTGCACTTTACCTTAGGAGATTGCATTATTGAACTAACCAACTTCCATTCCTGTATAATTGGAACATCAAAGTACAATAAATTATAAGCTATTTTTTCTTATGAGTTCCACTCGACCAAAAAGGACCCTCCATTTTTGCCAGTCTCTCACATCCGCCTCCGACAGTCTTAGTCTCCACCAATTTATCGTTCTAACTAACTGGACATCTTCCTCTCATTTTTGTACCCTCAGATTTTCAATCCATAATTAGTTTTGGTATTCTACTGACAATTATTTGTCTAAACTTAACAAATCGCTACAAAAAAAATTGATAGATGACAAAGATTTCTTAGTATTATTTCTATATTATAAGTTCTATTATTTCTATAGATAACATTCAACTTTTATATAAATATTTAAAAGTTTAGATGAAATCAGTAATCTACCAGTTTGGATTTCATACATGTTTTCTATGATGTGACCCTCATTCCACCTAGTTTTGATATATATCTACAAAAATTTGCTTAAAATGACCCAAAATTTCAGTCCAAAACATGTGTTTTTGATTTGCGTCTGCTCTGCGTAATTGACCTGGTTGGCAGACAATAATTTACTTTAAATGCCCTAAAATTTTGAACTTTTTGATGGGTTCAAATGCCACTAAAATCTTAAATAGGCCTGTCTAAGCTGGCAGACTAGCATTTTTATAATACCTAAAAGGAGTACTATCAAGCCATTAAGTTGAAAATTTGCTTAAAATATTGTGTCTTTTTCGGCCCTGGCTCCAGGTCTATGACTATTCCCTGGGAGCAGTTTAGCTCACGAGAAATTTGCCTCTGGGTCATCCCTCTGGGTCATCCCAGCTCTTCTTTGGTCCATTATGCTTTGTTGCTCAATTTCAGTGATTTAAGTTCTACACGGCATTATTTAAAAAAAAAGACTTATTCACACAAAGCGGTACAGTTTAAAAACGAAACGATATACTCTCTGTTTAACAGCAGGAAAAAAATGGAGGTGGTATCGATCTTTTAATACATCTGACAATTAAAAGCAAACATTGAGTTTATACTTATTCACAGCCTGAATAAGATTTGTTATCAAAATCTAATGTTCGTAAATTATCAAACAGACCAATGAGCATTTAAAGCTTCTTAGCAATCTAATTACATAAAAATAATAGTCCATGATACAGGCCCTTTTTTATCAAATTATTAATATCCGACTGAAACTTCGTAAGTAGCTTCATCTTATTGTAATCTACAGCTATTATATTTGCGAAAAATCTTGGAATTGGTTCGTTTTCAGTCAGGTGATCGGCAAACTTTTTCTATTTAATTAGGTACTAAAAACTCATGCCCATTTGCTTTCCACTTGAATCGTAAGGTAATATAAAAAAAAAAAAAAAAAAGTTTTGGGCCATTTGCCCTATATAACCTCATTATTTTGATATGTTGGGGATGAAAATCATACAAAATGACCCAATATGTTTGTAGGCCCGCCTTTTTTTCTCGATTTTATGATGATTTCATCTTACGATTCAAGTGGAAAGCAAATGCATATTTATGAGATTTTAGTACCTAATTAAATAAACAATGGTTGCAAATCTCCAGATTGAAAACGTCTCGATTCCGAGAATTTTTGCAAATAAAATATTTGTAAATTACGATGATATTAAGTTATTTATGAAGTTTCAGGTATATGTTAATAATTTGATAAAAAGGGGTCTGAACCATGGACTACAAGTCTAAAACCATCATTGTGTTATAAATTTACTTTAAAATTTTATAAATACTTTGATTTTATTAGTTGAGTTAATATATTTTCACAGGGCTGTATTCTGGGTATGGTATAATCAGTAACCTGTAATTTTTTTTTGACCTTAGAATGTTTCTTAACAGAACAATTGTAACTAATATTTAAAAAAATATATATTTATTGAAATTTACAACTGTATTATTTAAAAAATACTAGTAAATTTGAATTGGTAATGAAATGTACAACAAGAAGAGAAACTACCCATTGGTAACACTCTATAAACTAATATTTAAAGGTAATGGTTAAAGATAAAAAGGTTTTGTCTTTATTTTTTCCCTATAAACAACTTAATTGAAAATATTTATGTTTCAACCAAATAATCATTATCTTCTTTATTAATATACAGGGTACATCTGAGTCTATAGTCAGAGGAAATTAGGAAAAGTCATTGAATTTCATTTTCTTGCTATAGTCAAGTTAGTATTTTAGTCAAATTTGTCAGTGAGTTTGGGAATTTTCGGAAAATGTATTTCTTATAATAAAAAAAATTAAAAAAGTACCTAGATTATCAAATATTGTTTGCTTCTTAACTGCTGAAGGCTGCCCTCCAATGTGGCAGAATGTATTAATTTTCTACTAATAAAAAAAATTAAAAAGTCTGAAGGTATGTAGATTTTATTGATGTGGAAGATTAGAAAACGTTTGTCTTTAAAAAAAAAATTGTTTTCATGCTTTATGTTTTAGACATCAAGAAACAAATTTGTATATGAAGGGTATACTTCCTACTACTGTTAATCTGATTTTGATGATATTTTCAGAAATTGTGTATCTATGAGGTAGTTCATAGATCGTTGGGGCCGCGATAGCCGAGAGTGTTTATAACCTCAGCAACATCAAGTCTTGCAGCGCCGGTTCGAATTTGGTCTGGGTGGCTTGAAACTTATTTATAGAATGAATCTTGACTTCCACACTCTGGTTAAAATAGGTTGGGTACATATATGATTACGGTTACCATGCAGACTGTATTTGTTTTATTCCTTATTTAGTTATGATTCTATTTTTTTTTTTTTTTTTAGTGATTATATAACCTTTTTTTCTCTTGTTATTATTTTGTCCTTTGATGCTGAGACTTTCCTTTCACCAGTTTCTTTGTAGATTTTAGTATGTTTCATTTATCATCATCATAATTTGTATTTAATTTATTGTTATTCAATGAATGTCAAATGACTCAAAATAAAAATCTGTTTACTTATCTTCAAATCCAGTAAATTCTTTTTTGCTGTTTCTCTTCAGCTAATTATTATGGTGATTAGAACAATTGGATCCCAATTTGTTTTTATGTGAATAAAAATAAATAATTTTAATAACTGTTAAAAATTAATTTATAAATTGAAATAATGTTATGGTGGATTACAGTTTAGAAGAGTGTAAAAATAAACAGGAGGGAGAGCACTTCTATTCTTATAGTTGAGAGACACAGAAATAGTCAAATACTTTCTGAAAAAAAAAAAAAAAAAACTGCATGGTTTCCTCTATTATCACTGAACTCATTGTCTCTGTTTTGTTTTGACCCTAAGGCACATCAAGCTAGGAAGATTGAGATAAGCCACATGACTCATATTTCAGTGTATGATATTTCAAGAAAAATAATGAGCGAGGACCTTTGTAGCTCCGAATGTTGAGGAAAACGATGTCTTAGATTGATGAGTGACTGGACAGGAGATTTTGAAGATCAGGATTAGCAGACAATTGTCCAATGATGTGTGGACAGGTGGAAGGATGGTAATTGAGGATGCATGGTACCACTATCGTTGTGTTGAGCAAATGAAAGAAAATTTGAAGCGTGATTTTCTAGAATTTGAGTCCGAGATTGTTCGACATTTGAAGTGATATCTTGTTCCTTGATAAACCTTTTAATTTTTAAATAGGTGATAGTGATTGTACACTTCAAGTAGATTCAGTAAATTGAAGCAGAATCTTTGAATAATCTTGGACTTATTGCTCTTATTTCTGCTGTTGTTGAAAATTAATTTTTCTACAATGAACAATAAGCCAATTTAGTGAAAAATGTCCTCACATTTCAGACCATTACTATGTTGGGACTAAGTGCAGTAATATGGTAAAAATGCCCAACAGCCTTGTATTGTGTTGTTCGCTATAGTTTAATGGTCTGCCTTTATATGCAAAAAAAAGTCAAAGAACTTTGTTTTGTCCTTTTATTTGAGCATAAAAATTCATTATGAATAATATTAATTAAATTTATTTATTTGTAATTATATCTTAAGACTATGTGGTGTGATAGGACTTGATAATTGGCTAATTAATGTATCAGTTTAAATAGTGTTTTTTTTTAAATCATGAGTCATTTATAATATCAAAGTCTTAGGGAGGATGATGCACATTGACTCATTTATGAACATCATTTTCATTTTCTTTTAAGCAGTATTTATTAATTTTCAGGATTCAGCTGTGGATGGGTGTTCTAATAACTGTAGTCGACACTTTTACTTTTCTCCTTTTAGATAAGTATGGCCTTCGAAAACTGGAGTTGTTTTTTGGCATACTGATAACTATTATGGCAGTAGCTTTTGGATATGAGGTAATAATGATATGTAAAATGTGTGTAATGATTTATAAAAGTGGGGAATTTTACTGTCTGCTTTAAATCTAATATTATTTGTTAAAATTAAAAATTAAAAAAAGTGGAATAATTTAGATTTATTATTGTTATTTCCCCCTACTGACGGCTTTAGAGATCTTAATTCTTTTTTGCTACTTTAACCAGCGTATTTCTCAATTTTTTTTTTGCTACTTTAACCAGCATATTTCTCAATTTTTTTTGCTACTTTATTCAGCGTATTTCTCCTCTTGTCATTATTCAATAGCTCTAGGCATTTTTTTTTTTATGCCTATCCACTCCTTTGGGTTTTGGTTTTGGGCTCCTTCATGTTTCTTGCTAAATATGGTAACATTGATAGCTATTGTAGATGTTTGTGGCTAGCTGAAGTATTTTCTTGAAAAATTACTCATCTTTCTTTCTCTTAATTTTGCATATCCATTATGAAAAAGGAACAATTCAATAGTTTTTAGAAAACAGCATTTTAAATTTTACACCTAGTTTTAGGAAAGTTTTTACAATATTTGTCCCTCCCCCCTGTTGTTTTCTATCACAACTCTATTTAAATTTCTTTTGTTCTTAAATTTTAATTTTAAATTTGAGTTTTTTTTTTGTTCTTCCCTTCCTCGTTATTTAGGCTATACGGGGTTTTTCCTGGGACAGTGGATGAGGGTGGGAGATTAATGCCTGAGTTAAAAGCTCCCCCGTCACCGGGACGCGAACTCATAATTATTTATTTCTTTCAACTTCGGTTTTCAGGTTGCCGGACACCCCCCCCCCCCAAATTTTTTTTTCTGAGTTGTTATGTACTCCTATATGAGCTCTTACACACTCTTAAAAAATTAAGAGCTTCCTTATGATAGATGTATATAGTTTCCCATTCCAGAAGTATAATCCTTGAAATTAAAGAGAAGACACCTGTGGCTCAGTTCTACAATAATAAATTGGGATGGCTTCTTTATGTCTGGCACAATCCTTCACACTGTGCAGGCAGGGCTGTCATGTGGCTTTATAATAGTATACTTAATTGTACCACCTCATTATGTACATATTTTTGTACTGCACAGTTATCAGTGTACAATACAACATGAAAAAATATTTTATTTCTCGATCGCAATGAAAATACTTATTTCAGAGTTTTTCGAGTTATGCAAAACGAATATCAACTTTCTTTTTCACAAAAAAAAAAATAATGAGGTCTGGATGTGTTTATCATGTATAATGAATGAATGAATGAAAACCACTTAAGGGCACTAGATGATAACGAAATATTTTTAAGTTTGGTTTGGAGGATATGGTCAACTGAGTCGAATGCTTTAGAGAAATTAAGAAGATTCAGGATGGTGAGTTTCTGTTGGTCTATGGCTGTGTGGAGATCTTGGGAGATTTTAATGAGGGCGGAATGAGTAGAGTAGTCAGGTCTAAAACCAGACTGGAAGCAGTTCAAATGCTTATTTTGTTCGCGATATTGGGATAGTTGGGATTGTACTATTCGTTCTAAAGGTTTGGAAAGGTTAGATAACAGGAAAATTGGACGGAAATCATAAAGGTTGTGGGATTAGAGATTTTATTCAGTGGACGAACAAGGACGGTTTTCCAGGTGCTGGGAAAAGTGGAACTTCGTAGTGAAAAATTATAGATATGATAAAGGATTGGGAAAATGGATGGAAGTGAGGATTTAATTAATATAACTGGGATATTATCTGGTCCGAAATCTTTGGTTTGGGATTTACAAATGGATTTAAGGAGGTCGTCAGGGGTAATATGCGAAAAGAAAAAATGGTTGGGATTAAAGGGGGGATGTATGAGGGATGGAGCTGTTGCTTGGACAGAGGGATAGGATGAACAGGAGACATAATAAGTGTTGAGTATGTCAGCTGAAATAGAGGTAGTCTGTGTTTGGGTGGGTTTGCTTAAGGATAATTTACGGAGAATTGTCCACATAGCTTTGGATTTTGGAGTGCTGGATAAGGATTGTTCGTAGTAGTGGGATTTGGCACGGCGTATCACGGATTGCGTACTGTTTCGAAGCAGCTTGAAATTTTTGTAGTCTTTTGGGAGTCGAGTGCGCTTAAACCTTTGTCTTGCTGCGTCTCTTCATTTGATACAATTTTTTATCGCAGGCGTCAACCACAGGGCTGGGGGGTACTTGATTGTCCTGACTTTAATAGGAGCATAACGGTCTAGGATAATGTGCAGTTGATTGGTTAAGGTTTCTACCATAGTATCGACGGAGTTAGAGGAGTATATGGAGTCCCATTGGATTGCGTCAAGATCGGGTGTCAAAATTTCGGATGATAGGAGATTAAGGTTTCTGAAGGTTTCTACCATAATATCGACGGAGTTTCTGAAAGATATAGATCGGGGACAGAATAGAGGAACAGGAAGGTTATAGGAGACCTATATGAGATCATGAGCAGACAAAAAACCAACCGGGTGCTGTGATGAGGTGAGGAGTGATCAGGAGAGTCAATAATGCAAAGATTGAGCCAAGAGTCTCAGTATTGAGTGTGATGGGTAGGGTTGTACGGGACTATATACAGATTAAGAGAGTAGAGGAGGTTTGATAAATAGGCTTGTTCAGAGGAAGGAAATAATAGGTTGGTATTGAAATCTTCGAAAAGATCAATGTTAGAGTAGGAAGGGCTCAGTTCATAGAGGATGGTCTCGAGTGTTTCATCAAAGGGGATTCTAGGAGGTAGGTAGATGACACCAATGAGCAATAAATATGAGGAGGTGGATATTTCAGCAATAAGATATTCGATATTTGGATGGACAAAAATGGCTGCTCTGCCTCCGATTCTATTTTCTCTATCGTGACAGAGTAGGGTATAGTTAGGGAGTGAAACTTAAGAGGATGTGATAGTGGGTTTTAGCCAAGTTTCAGAGACAGCGATTAGCTGGTAGAAGTTGTGGAGGAAGAAATCATGGAATTCATCTATGTGGGCTAAAAATGACTGTGCATTATAGACTGGGACAGTGAATCGGTAGGAGGGGTGAAAGATATGGAAATAATAAGGTTGGATTGATCCGAGATACATCGTAGATGCTGAAACGTTAATAGCAAAACTATTGAAAAGTAGAAACTAGAAAAAATAGGTAGAATAAATAATCCAGGTAGTATCCTATAATCTATGGAGATAAGAAACAAAAAAACAGTAGATCTGTACTCTATGGTTTTTAATTGCTCCGAGTTTTCGAAAGCCACAGCACCGCGAATTGCCTGGCTACCGGATAACAGATTTGAGAAGATTAAAAAGTTTCGAGTTCGCGTCCCGGTGCCGGAGGGGATTTTAAATTCCCCACCCTCACCCCCCGGCCCGGTAAAATCCCGTATAGCCTAAGAGGCGAAGTAGGGAAGAACAATTAATCATTTTTATTTGTTTTTTAGGGAAATATTCAAGAGAAAAACGAAAAGAAAAAAAAAATAGAAAAGATCGTGAGATTTCTGAAGACGATGGACGTAACCTACCAAGTAAATAAGACAAGTCAGTCGAACTAATTATTGCGCACTCGCTCCCCACTACTAAACAATATGTGTGTAATGAAAATACTTCTTCCCGTTCCACTATGTTTTTTATATTGAAAACTATTCTCTGAAGAATTCTTCAATGAGAGTAGAACTGTTCACCGATGAGCACTTTGTAATTTAATCTCAGTTTAAGCTCCAAATTATTACTATCACTATGTAATGTAAGATGCCAATAATTGTCAATGATTATGACAAGAGCACTGGACACACACATAATATGTACAATAGATGCAGCATTCTTATAGTCGGCGGTACAGACCCCTTTTTATCAAATTATTTTCATCTGCCTAAAATTTTGTAAATGGCTTCATCTCATCGTAACCTACAAATATTTTATTTAAGAAATTTCTCGGAATTGGGGCGTTTTCTTTATTTTTCCTTTAAAATCTTAAACTTATTTATATGATTTGGATGATTAATAATTCAGCTTTCCAATAGTTCTGGTAATGTTTGTTGAATCTGAAGAAACTACTGAGGAGGAGGGAAAAAAATTCTCCAATAAAATAAAGTCTAAAATTTATATTTTTTCATTCCAATACAAATTTGTATTGAAGAGTTGTAAAAGATACTAAAAATGAATCTGAATTACTTTTTCGTGACAAAGTTTCTCTTATAATTGTGAGAGTGAAAGGTTTATCAATTTGAGGCTAATTGGAAATGTCATCTTGTTGGAAAGTTGAATAAAGAACGATTTTACACTACAATTTTCCACATGAGTTACATGTGGATCAGTGTTTGGAGGAAATGCTGCCTGTGCTTGGAGGGGATTATACATACCGTTTAATGATATTTAGATGGTACCAAAAACTTGCAAGAGGAAATTTGAGCTTGAGGAAACTCCAGCTTCATTGGTGAAAGAAGAAAACATTATTGCTATTCGGAAATATCTTTTGGCGAACAGGAGAATTACCTACCACCTAATAATGGAGTCTTGGGCTGGGTATTAATGCACCAGCAATTAGTAGCACGATCATCTTCAAGTCAGGAAGCTTTGTACTCTTAAGGCGCCCCATAGCGTGACTGAAGCTCAGATGACTAATCATGTCTCGTGGTGCAGTAAAATGCTGAAGTTTAAAAATTGAAAATTCTCCAATGTAAACAGTATAGTGACAGGTGATGAAACTTGGCTTTTCTACTGTGATGTCCTGACTAAGACTCAGAGAATAGTGTTGGTATTTAAAGATAAGGATACCCCTGGTATCTGTCCAGGAGTCCAATTTTTTAAGAAGAGAATGGTGGTAAAATTTGTTAGTGTGAGGGGTGTCGTGGAGTAAATGGTGCTAGAAATGCAGATTTGTTGGCAAGATGGTTGTTGGCAAGTAGTACACCAAGCCTTTTTAAAGTAGTGCAAGCTTTCCAGAAACTTCAGTCAAACTCAAAAATGGATTTATGATTACTTCACCATGATAATACTCCAGTCCATCGTTTTAAAACTTAGCATAGAATATTT